CGAGGTTTATACCATTTGAGCACGGGGGCTTTACCAATTTACCACGCGTTTTCATGCTCCTAACCTCCTCCGGCCCTGGTAAAACGCCAGTGTGAAAGAAAATTATCCCTCTTCTAATGCAGTGAATGCAAAGGCTCATGGAGCTTAAGTGTCTTGCCTGGGGTCTCTACATTCCAATCTTCATACTTCCTACTATGCCTATGCCTCACTGCATCCAAGATCTTTTAGCCTAACCTTGAGATCCAGCATTGCCATGTGAGAGTGTATTCCGATGTGAAAGGGAAGCCACATTAATAAATGGGCCTGTAGGATCCAAAATTGCATCTGCAGCATATTTAGAGTTATGTTGCAAAAAACTTGAAGCTATGCAGAGAAAAAAAATCCTCATGTATATTACAGCAAAATGGTAAAGGCAAGTGGGCTTAGGTGGTAGGTGGTGGGCAGATTATTTTTATACTTTTTTTACATTCAAACATTTATTTAATGACACACATGTTATGCTTACAGTGGGAAATATGAGTAATAATTTTTTTCAGGTAGCTTTAGAATCAAATAATTCTCCAACAGCAAGACTTCTAAATTTTGACATAAGTCCAGATTTTGCCCTGAAGGAACAAATTCATATTCTGAGTCGCAAATTAGAAGAAATAATGAACAGAATTCTACATGAGCACTGCGTCTTTCTTAGCTCTTCATACTGGCCTCTGAAAGAATTCCTATCTGGAACTTCTGAGTATAACTTTGGGGACAGTGTGGGGTGAAAGGAACCAGCTCTTTCAGATCATCTATTCCTCACAAAGGCAAGGAGAACATCAGTGGGGCCCTCTTTGGCATGTCAGCCTTCTGCGTCATCCATGAGCATCCCAGAACCATACTTATGTGAAAACACAGGCCTTCCTGGCTGTGGCTTCACCTCACATTATCTCTGAAGTAGTAAGGCCACAGAAGGTTCCTAAGGTTTTCTCAAATCATGATCACTCACCTTCACACAGCCCCGTGTTCTCCAAGTAAAACTGGGCTCTACAGTGAGACAGACACTCGCCCGAGCTGATGTTCACACCAGACAGCTGCTCGGCTTGCAGTCCTTCCTCTGGCTTCTTGCACTGGGTACAGTGAGAGCGCTCTGGACCCACACAAGTCACACAAGAGGAATGACAGGCTGCCAAAAGGAAAAGAGTGCAGAAAACAATCCCAGGGTCATATATAGGTTGCAACCAATAGGGGGGCTATCATTAAATCAAATCCACTAAGAGAAGTTCACCAGATACATCCTTCCAGAATATTGTTTTTCTAGTGTGCTATACCAAAACGCAAGACGATAATAATAATACTTGCGAAGAGCAAAACGAGGGTGAGGCTAACTAGTCATATCTCTCAGGTCCTGTAAGAGCTGCCTTGCTAGATTAAAAAGAAAAACAAAACACAACACAAGAATAACAGCAAAATAGACAATACTGGCTTGGTTCTCCAGAGAAACATATTTACTGAATGGCGATTTAACATTTTGTCTTCGGCTTTTATTGAAGATTTTAAGAAGCGTTCACATAAAGGCTATTGCTGTGTTTTTTGCAAACATGGTCATTGTGATATTGTCCATTATGTTATTCATCACCCAGTATATAGGGGTCCAGACAACAAATTCCCTTTAGAATTTATGAGAGAAAAGGCTGCTCTTATAAACAAGGAAGAGGCCTCTTTTGAGCAGCCACAATAATTTCATAATCCATCACAGCTCCTTGTTTTCCCTGGCTACTGGTAGAAATCAGAGCCAAATGGAGTACATGAGTTCTCTCAGGCCCACATTTTATACAATTAGCTTTCCTGTTCTTTAAAAGACTCCTTTTCGTAATATTTATTGCAGCTGCCTGTTTTAAAAATGTTTTGCTTGTAACTATTCTGAAGCTCTTTTCTAAGGTGCCCTGTGCATAAATAAATATAAGTTAATTTCATTTGAAGTGTCTGCTCCCAATGCTCTAGTTCCAAAAAGCTGAAATGTTACTGCCCTCCAAAGGAGCCCAGAGCCTTTCTTGGCAAACAGCTATTTAAGATTTTCCATTTTCCTCAGCCCAGAGGCAGTGCTGGTGACGCTCACTGTGCTCGGCAGTATCATTAACAAAAAGAGCTTCTTCAGGGAAAAACAAAATGAAGACTAAGGAAGACATTAGCAATGCTAGAAGAATAGAAAAGGGAGGAAATGAGAGTGGTTCTAATGCATGGCAAAGGAAATGGCATTCCTCTGAAGGATGGCCAAAAACATCATGAACCTGTGGGAGTCTTCACAGATATTGAAATGTAATTTTTCAGATTATCTCTTGGTAAGAAAAAAAAGCATATATATTGCCATATGAGACAGTGATGGAGAATCTTTTGCGCTCGATGGGTCAGCATTTTGAAAAACCCTAACTTAACTCTGATGCCATGTCACATATAGAAATTTTTTGATATTTCCAACCATAGTAAAACAAAGACTTATATTTTTGATATTTGTTTTATATATTTAAATGCTATTTAACAAAGAAAAATCAACCAAAAAAAAATGAGTTCGCGTGTCACCTCTGACACGTGTGTCACTGACACATGTGTCATAGGTTCGCCAGCACTGATATAATATATACCAGAGGAAAAGCTGAACTGAAAAGTAACTTAGGTCCTGATCAGGGAGTTCAGTTGGTTAGAGCCCTGGATTTATGCATAAGATTCCCAGTCAGGGTATATACAAAAATCAACCAATGAATGCATAAATAAGTAGAACAACAAATCAACGTTTCTCTCTCCCTTTCTCTCTCTAAAATCAATCAATAAAAATATAGTAACTTAAATCTATGTCCTTATAGATGGGAAAGTCTCTTAAGAATACGATGACACCAATGATACCTTTGCAGATCCCGTGGTCAGGGTAGAAGCCCACTCCACAGTTGGGCAGACAGTGGCCTTGGCGCAGAGCCCGAGAGTGGGTGCAGGCTGTACAGTGAGAGGCCCTGGGTCCAGAGCAGCTGGCACACGAGTTATGACATACTGAGGAAGAGAGTGAGAGATGAACACAAAGGGACCCAAGTGACTTTGGAGCCCACTTCTTGGCTGGGTTTGGTATGTGCTGGGAAGCCCTCTCCTCCATCACTCTCAATCTCTTTTCAGCCCTCACACCAAATCAAAAGAAAAGATGTGTTAGGGGGTTATTATATCTCTAGAATTGCCCACATTGCCCAATTACCAAATTTTATCCATGTTATACCTATTTATATCTATACTTACTACTAGTTATCCTTTATTTAGTATTTGTATTAAGTGTTTTATACACATTACCACTTTTAATCTTCACAGTAATATTAAGAGATCGGTACTCTTAACACTAGTGGCCTGGTCATGAAATTTGTGCACGAGGGCGGGGGGTGGGGGGGGCCCTCAGCCCAGCCTGCACCCTCTCCAATCAGGGACTCTTTGGGGGATATCTGACTGCCGGTTTAGGATATCCCTCTCACAATCTAGGACGTCTGGCTCCTAACTGCTCACCTACCTGCCTGCCTGATTGCCCCTAACTGTCTTCCCCTGCCACCCTGATCTCGCCCCCAACTGCCCTCTCCTGCCAGCCTGATTTCGCCCCCAACTGCCCTCCCCTGCCAGCCTGATCTCACCCCAACTGCTCTCCTCTGCTGGCCTGATCACCCCTAATTGCCTCTGCCAGCCTGATTTCACCCCCAAGGGCCCTCTCCTGTCAGCCAATTTGGTTCTGATTGGTCAGTTTCTATGTCAATCAGTGTCGAAAGCTCCGCCTCCTAGGCAACCATTGGCTCCTCACAGTTCACCCAGATTTGGTTCTCATTGGTCGGTTTCTATGCCAGTCAGTGTCTCTGGGCCTATCTCTAGGCCTGATAAGAGAGGCGGGGCTGATCAGCAGCCTCCACGAAGGGGAGGGAAACAGAGGCATGGCTGCTGGCGAAGCCCAGAGAGAGAGAGAGGTAATGGCTGATCAACAGCTATCATGGAGGCTACGGATCACACCCTGCTCTCTCTCCAGGCCTGATCTGCAGCTCCCTCAGCAGTCAGTGCTGGGTTGCTGTGCCCGCACCAGTGGCAGTCAGTGCTGGGTCGCCATGGCAACCCAGCAATGACTGCAGGACTAACTTCCAGTGTTTGGTCGAGCCTTTGGTCGGTTGTTACGGACCTTGGGTTTTTATATATTAGGATCATTTTATAGATGAAGAAACTGGTCTTGGGAAGTTAAAATATTTACCTAAGATCACAGGTAATTAGTAGCAAGGCTGGAATTTAGCCCTGGGTTTTTCTGAATCAAAATTGCCCATCTGAATAGGGGTGAGTAGAAAGTTCATAGGTTTGAGTGTTGGGAGCAGTGGAATTTTGACTGTCATGTCCATGAATTTATCTATGCCCTTCATCATGTCTGGGTATCTCCAGGCCTAGTTTCCTTGGCTTACACACTGTGAGAAGTTGGACTAAATGATTACTTAAGGTACCTTCAACTTGGATATTCTGAGACTCTAAGTAAGAATTACATTTAAGGCTGGTCCAAGTGCAGTGGCACCTACAATTAATTGATCACAGCCAGAATTACATTTAAGAATCTGACCACTACATATGACAATGTCAGACACACACATCTCCTTTGGTCCTGGGTGGTGGGCAAAACATAGGTCAACAGTTGGAAGTATGCGAAACACAGAGTTTATTTCTGTACTATTATTTATATATTAATTATTGCATTATCATTTATTATTATTATTAATCTACTTTTGCTTGCCCCTGTAGTATTTATAAATGCCACCTAAGGAATGATTCTGTCATACCTTTGATCTAAGTTGGTGATGGTTTACAAGTACACAGGTACACTATGAAGGTCTTAAAGATGTTCTTGGCATTTCAAAAAGACCAAGTGATCTCTAATGATATATATATATGATTTTTAATATTTAATAACTCTAGTATCTCGGCATCCACCCATGTCTCCCATTCCCATACCACATACATGTAGATTCTCTAATGAAAAAGCTATTCCTTTTGACATTTTCCCATTAGACACACAGATTCCAAAGTGAGCAGATACAACTCCCAGTCTAGTCAATGATGACTATGACAATGATTGCCCATGTCTTACCTTTGCATCTGCTAGTGGCATCAGCATAATATCCACCAGGGCATTCAGAAATGCACTTGCCATCATGCAACACTGCCTTCTCAGCACAGGTAAGGCATCTGGGACTATTGGGGCCACAACTTTCACAGGATTGGTCACAAGCTAAGGGAGAGGAAAACCCATTAGAGAAAGTCAATAGTGAGCCAACGGAGCAGAGAAGTCTATTCATTACAACGTCCACAGTTGGTATCGACATAATAATCTCATTCTCTGACTGCTCAACTGAGTGCTGTTTCCTTGATTCCAATATTTCAAAAGATCTGCATTTTCTGTCTTCACAGTTGAAGAACCAAAGAATTATTCATTGCACTAAGCATAACAAATACTCTGAGGCATTCCACCCACCTCCAGTGTATCCAATTTAATATAGGATTTAAAGTTAAAGTGGCCTCAGAGATAGAGTTGCCAGATTTAGCACATAAAAATACCAAATGCCCCATTTAATTTGAACTGCAGATAAATAATGAATAATTAGTTAGTTTAAGTTTGTCCCAAATATTTCATCTTTTATCTGGCAACCCTAGTGGGGAGAGAATTCAGAAACTCAGAGTTCTTCTAAGCAAGGTTATGCTACAAAAATGTTAAGTTGTTGAACTCTCTCAATCTACCAGGATCTACTCATTCACTTATGCATTTATATGAAAGGTCAGGAAAGGATTTGTATAATAGCGACCCTTGAACATTGTCTTAGGAAGTGAATCAGAGTGTGCTCAGCTAATGGGAATGGCCTCAGCAGCAAGGCAAGGGAAGGTCCAGGGCCTGGCAAAAGTCTGGGCTGTCCAGAGAAAAAGCAGCTCCATTCAGCTGGAAAAGTGGACCGGGCCAGATGATATAAACTTGTATGCCAGACTCTACAGTCTAGATCTCATCTTTATGGAAGGAAGACAGCAAGAGCCCTTGCCAAGTTTTGATTACAATGGAAACATCGCCATGTTGGATATAAGATTAGTTTGGCTTCAGTTTAGAGGATAGTTTGGAGAGGTGATGAAAGAGAGTTGGGGGTCTAGCTGGAAGACTATGGCCATGCTCACAGAACAAGATGATCAGGGATTGAATCAAAGCTGTGGAGAAGATGATAGATTTGAGGCCTGTGTAGGAGAAAGTGTCTCAGATGGACTCCAGGAGTCTGGCTTAGGGGATGAGTGATGCCACTCACAGAATGCAAGAAGGAGAATGGTCGTGAGGATTCTCATGGGCTGTCTTGGATAGGCTGTCCAGGAAACAGCCCGATTTATAGTTCTGGTGCTCTGGGGTAGATCTGGGGGTCATCACATATAGGTGGTTGCTGAAATCAGAAGTTAGTTGATTTATTCAGGAAGAGCATAAAGGATAAGGCAGTAGTAGTCAGGGATCTGAGAGCGCCAACATTTAACTGAAAAAGAAAAAACTAGCAAATGTCACCAAGAAGAAATGACACAAAGGTAGAAGAGAAAACAGGAGTGTGATGGCTGAGAAGCTGAGGGGAAAAAAGTTTCAAGAAGGGAGTGATTCAAGTGCAGAAAGCACAAATAAAGTCTGAACATGGCTCACTACACTAAGGCATTGAGATATGGGTAACCTGTACCACTACCATTTAAGTGGAGTCATTAGAATGAAAGTGAAGGCCATGATTATTAACTGTTCTCTTAAAGGCTCCTGGCTGTGAATGGATGGGGACAGGGAGAGAAATAATTAAAAGGGTAAGAGGATGTTTTGTCTCTCCAATATTGTAAAAGCTCAAGGCAAGGATAGACCCAAGGAAAGGTTTTTAAAAGAGAAGAGTTTAAATAATTCTTCAAAGAATACCTAGGAGGAAAAGGGACTGTACATTCAAAAGTACAGAAGGAGAGATTAGCCTTGGACAGTCCAGAAGAAGGCCTCCATTCCTGAAAGTGAAAGAAGGCAGGTGAGGGTAAATGCACCAGCAGGTAAGTCTGGGACTCTATCTACTCTATACCCATTGGTTAAATACTTTAAAAACAAAACAGACCTTCTCACTATTGGAGAATCAATGCTGAGATCTATTCTATCTGTTCTTTTCATCCACTTACACCATGCTAATCTCCTGAAAAACATTTTAAGACCTAAGGAAATAAGATGTAAACAATAGGGCCAAATGTTCCATCCTGCATTCTGGAGGATTCAGCATCTCACTAAAAGCAAATATGTAAGGCAAGATAATATTCAGTAAATGGACAAAGACAATGATCTCTATACCAAAGAAAAAGAAACTCACCCTCTCAACTCATAACTGGAACAAAGAAGCAAAAATAAATCTGAAAAGCATCTTTTCACCCACACTCCATAAAAATCTCCAAAGTTTCTAATTCTGGAACTGACATCTCAATAGAACAGAACAATCTTTAAGCTAAGTGGATTTCCCCAGAAATAAACAGTAGCAGAAATTTTTAAAAAATGTAGAGTTGACCAACAATAAAAACATTGTAAGTCAAACATTTTTAAAGACCCATCTAATGTAATACTTAAAGTGTAATTTGTAAATTTACATAAAATTATTAGGAAGATGTCATTTTCTCCCAAATTAGTCTATAACTTCAATATCATATTAATAAAAAGTCCAGTTGTATTTTATTAGGAATTTAATAAACATGTTCTAAAGCCCATGAATAACTAAGTCAACTTTGAAACTGAAGAGACAAGAAAGGGAAAATTTACCCAATCAGATATTTGAGACATACTGCAAAGCAACAGAAATTAATGAAAACATAAAACAAAACAATGTGATAATGTACAGGACAGAAATTTAGACTACTGGAATAGCTCAGAGACAGACACAGGAATTTAATATATACTAATAAAAGGGTGATATGCTAATTAGACCAGACATTTTATGGACAAAGCCACAGCGGCTGCTGCTGCTGCGAGGACTGGGCCAAAGCTCAGGCAGCCACGGCAGCTGGCAGTGGCAGTACAATGGGGGCATCGCCTTCCCTTGATTGGCCTGGTCTCCTCCTGTAGAGGGAGGCCAAAGGCAGCAGCAGCAAGGGGGTGATGGGGGCGGTGCCTTCCCATGATCATCAGCCGCAGAGGGAGGCCAGATTGAGGCTTAGACTAAGCTGTCAGTAGGACATCCCCTGAGGGCTCCCAGACTGTGAGAGGGGGCAGGCCAGGCTGAAGGACTCCCCCCGCGCCCCAGTGCACAAATTTTCATGCACCGGGCCTCTACTATACAATAAAGATCAATGGAGATGGTTAGATTGAATTACTAGATGATCTTGGGAAAACTGGATCTTGAAATGAAGAAAAATAAAACTGGATCCCTACTTAAACCCATATCCATAAGTGGACTCCAGGTGGTTCAAAAAAGTAAGTTAAGATAAAACTGTCCAGTTAATAGAAGAAAATGTAGAATAATTTCTTTGTGAACTTGAGCAGAAAAAAAAGACAATTCAAGTTCAAAATGGGCAGAATTCTTTTTGAAAATTCAAAATCAAAATGTTGAAGTAAAAAGTGAATTAAAATGTTCTGTTCAACAAAGGGCACCATAGTAACAGCTAAAAGGTAAAAAATTGGGAAATATTTGCATATTTGAGGCTGAAAAGAGTTAATACCTATAACATACAAATAATTCCATAAAACCAATAACCAAAAGGCAGAAAGGCCCTCCATAAAACAATGGGGAAAACATTGTAAAATTCAATTTATAGAAGAGGAAACACAAAAGTCTAAAAGGAGTTGAAGATATTTTCAAGCTCATTAATAATCAAAAGGATACAAATTAAAATGGGATGTCCCTGAATACCTATTGACCAGAGAAAAATCTAAAGCTTGATAATGCCAAGTGGTAGTAAGGATGTGGGAATGGGCGATGTCATGCTTTGGGTTATAGATGGTGGTGAGCTACCTGGCACTACTTAGTCATAGGGAATATTCAGAGTCAAGAAGT